GTTGAAGCCCAGCAGGTCGACTCTGGGGTGACCGTGAGCGTGCTATTACCCTCCAACCTGGTCAACAGAGTGAGAATTCAACTCAGAAAACAAAACAACAAAAACAGAAAACCCTTGTTCTGTTGATTGGGCAATCCCAGCTTTCACAGGGTATGGGCCTTTCTCAAAGTCACAGAAGGAATCCATGACATGATCGTGTCTGCAAGCCTCTATTCCTTTTTTCTGAACTGGATGACACGAAACAGCTTTCCTAACTCTCCTAATAGCCTTTGTTCCCAATGAAGGAAGCTTCAGAATTCCAATTTCTTCTCTGACGTCTGACATCAGGCCCATGTCGTGCTAGGGCATGCTGGGAGGTCACCACTGCAAATACCAGCCTATGTGCACCTACCCAACAGTTAGTACCAAAGCTTTTCAACAGCCTTGCTTGCCTCATTTGGCATGTTGAAAAATGAGATAAAAGTAGATTTTTTTCTGCATACATTTGCTTAAATTTCTAACTAGAACTAAGCCTGCTGGGCACACTAAAGGAAAAGACTGGGCTAGGTACTTTGGGAGATACTGTTTTAAAGACTATTTTTTAGAGATGGGACCTCACTCTGTCACCCAGGCTGGAGTGCAGTGGCATGATCATAGCTCACTGCAGCCTTCACTTCCTGGGCTCTAGTGATCGATTGTCTAGTGATCACCCTTCCGAGTAGCTGGGACTACAGGTGTGCACCACCACATTTGACTCTGGGAGATTTTTTTTTAAATGAGTGAAGTTTGACCTCTCTACTCAAGGAGCTTGCCTCTGATGAAAGTACAGCTGTGTAGAAATAACGCAACCAAGAACGTAGAAACTTCTGTTAGAATGGACAGAAATCAATAGTTTGGGGATTCCAAGGAGAGGAATCTAGCTGGGGCATCAAAGAAGAACCGGTGGGAGGGATGGCATGAGGACCAGGTGGCACAGGATGGGTGGAGAACACAGCAAGAATAAACACGCAAAACCCTAAATGAATGAAAAGCATTTGGGCAAAGCTTAGCATATGTGTAGAGAAATTGTAGGAAACAGTTAGGAGTACAGGGGCCAAATTCTGGAGAGCTTTTAATGCCATAATTAAGAAAAATTGCTTAATTTATGAGGCAGTGGGATGGCATGAGGGCTGGGGTGGGGACAGGCATGCTCATTCACTCGGGAGACAAAATCAGCATTATTTATCAAAACCTGTAGATAGCTGTGAGCTCTTTGGGCCTGGAATTTCACCTCTAGGGCTTTTTGCTCAGAAATGTAAAGATGTTCATTACAACATTGTTTCAAATATTAGGAAATTAGAAATAACCTAAATACCCAACAATGAGGCAACTGGGGGGATTTTGCCTCCAGGGGACCTTTGAAAATCTCTGGAGGCTGGGCTTGGTGGCTGAGCTTGTAATTTCAGCACTTCGGGAGGCCGAGGCCAGTGGATTGCCTGGGCCCGTGGGTTCAAGACCAGCCTGGACAACTTGGCAAGACCTCGTCTCTACAATGAATCAAAAATTAGCAGGGTGTGAAGTGTGTGCCTGTAGTTCCAGCTACTTGGAAGGCTGAAACAGAAGGAAAGCCGGAGCCCAGGAGGTCGACGCTGGGATGGCCATGAGTGTGCCACTGCACTCCAACCTGGGCGACGGCATGAAACTCCAACTCAAAAAGGGGGAAAAAAAAAAAAAGAAAATGTCTGGAGACATTTTTGGTTGTCACACTTGAGGGAGTGCTATTGGTACCTGGTGGGTAGAGATCAGAGTTAACATCCTACATGTGCAGGACCACTTCCCACAACAAGGAATTACTAATCCCAAATGTCAGCAGTGTAAATATTGAACAACCCTACACTGCATTATAGTGTTCTGCTGCCTTTACACATGGAATGCCCTCTAATCAAGGAACGGGAGGTACCTCAAGAGACATTCATGGTATTTCGCGAAACAGAAAAAGTCTGTGTTCCTGTCACCTTGAATGTGCCTGCTCTCCCCTGATCTTGGAAGCTAGGCAGGGTCAGGCTTGGTTAGTACTTGGATGGGAGACTGCCTGGGAATACTGGGCAGTCTGTGCTCTAGATGTTCCTTTTTTGGTTATTTTAAGAGACAGAGTCTTGTTATATTGCCCAGGTTGGCTTCCAACTTCTGGGCTCAAGCGATCCTCCTGCCTCAGCCTTCCAAGTCACTGGGACTACAGCTACAGCCCAGTTCACAGGGAGCCTCTAATTCAGTTCAACTTTGGCATTATCTACCTGGAGACAGCCTCTGATCCCACAGGTGGAGAGTTCAGGCCCACAAGACTGTCCCCCCCAACTTCAGAGGCCAGTTGCAGGTCCAGGCTTTTGGAACTTCTAACCAACCAGTTTAAAGACAGAATTCCCATAACCCCCTCTTTGGCTTCAGTTAATTTCCTAGAGCAGCTCAGAGCACCCAGGGAAACATACTCACCTTTACCTGTTTGTTAAAAAGCATATTACATGCCAGGCGCAGTGGCTCAAGCCTGTAATTCCAGCACTTTGGGAGGCCGAGGTGAGAGGATTGCCTGAACTCAGGGGTTCGAGACCAGACTGGGCAACTTGGCAAGACTTTGTCTCTACAATAAAAAAATTATCCCGGGCATGGTGGTGCGTGCCTGTAGTTCCAGCTACTTGAAAGGCTGCAGTGGAAGGATTGCCTGAGCCCAGCAGATCAAGGCTGCGGTAGCCGTGAGTGTGCCACTGTCCTCCAGCCTAGGTGACAGAGTGAGATTCCTACTCCAAAAAAAAAAAAAAAAAGATATTACAAAGGATACAGAAGAAGAGACACATAATATGCGGTATGGGGAAGGGGCAGAACTTCCACGCCCTCCTCAGGGCCCCTCTGCCAGGATCTAGTAGCTATCTAGAAGCTCTCCTAAATCTGACCTTCAGGGTGTTTATGCAGGCTTCATTACCTGAGCATGATTGATTACATTATTGGCCATTGGTGATCAGGTCAGCCTTCATCCCATCTCCCCTCCCTGGGGATGTGGGATGAGGCTGGATGTCCCAACTCTTGACTCTGCCTTGGTCTGTTTGATGACCAACCCCATCTTGAAGTGACCTAGGGCCACCAGTCACCAGTCAATCATTGGCATACAAAAATATGTCACTTTGGATATTCGAAGGATTTCAGGAATTATGGACCAGGAAACAGGGTCAAAGACCAGACATATATTTCATGATATCACACTGAACACCAAGGATGTGCAAGCAGCTTTGCAAGGTCTGGGGACAGCCTGACAGATCCCAACCCTCATGATGCTCACAGGACAGTGGGAAGACAGACAAAATTATAAGGTAGCAAAAATGAGTCCATCGTGTCTGATAGTCATGAATCTAATGTGGTAATTAAGAATGGGAAATAGGGAGGGGGGTATAGCAGGCAGGAGCTGGGGCGACCCGAGGCGAGGCCACTAGAGATGACTGTGTGACCTGAGGCCCAGGAGTTAGGAAGGAGGGCTGTGGTCACTGCAGTGGGAATTTTACAGCAGCTCAGATTGCTGCACTGGTTGCAAGCCATGGGGCACCTGGGCACACAGTGCCGACAGGTGCAGTGTGGGATGGGTGCAGCGCCAGACAGGTGAAGCACCAGGTGGATGCAGTGCTGGATGGGATGCCGGATGGGCACTGTGCTGGATGCGTGCCGTGTGGAATGGGCACTATGTGGGATGGGGTACAGTGCCAAATAGATGCTGTGTGGAATAGGTGCTATGCTGATGGGTGTTATGCCTCGGTGGGTGCAGGGCCAGGTGGGTGCAGGGTCAGGTGGGCACTATGCCAGGTGGGTGCTGTGTGGGATGGGTGCAGTGCCAGGTGGGTGCTGTGTAGGATGGGTACTGTGCTATGCCTGGGGGGTGCAGTACTGAGTGGGTTCTGTGCCAGGTGGGTGCAGGTGCCGGGGGAGTGCTATGCCGGGTGGGTGCAGTGCCACAAGAATTGATTACACCCTACAATACAGGAGGCAACCTACTTCCCAATACCAGCATATAATCATACCTTCTACAGTGTTTACAAGGGAGAGACGCCGGGCTCTGTCAAGTATGTTCACAAAAATCCAGTAAGTTTCATCCAGAAAGAGAAGTGCTTTTTCCCACCTGCCTGGGGTGCAAGAACACGTCAGCGAGGCTTAGGTGATTCAAGATCTGCAGAGGTTGGGTTGATGGCATCTGGACATGGTGTGCGTTCTGATGCGAGAAAGTTCAGGCTGAAGCCAGAAAAAACACATCAAAGCACCAAGAGAAAGATCAGGTGGGTTGAAGCGAAACAGATTTGAAAGGTTAAGCCTCTACGAAATGGACAGAAAATACAGTGTTAACTAGAGGTCACCTCTGAGTAGCAGGATGATGGGTGATTTTAACTGTCTCCTTTGTGTGACTTCTGCGGGGAGCATGTATTATTCTTGTAATGAAGGAACAACTATGGAGGTGTGTTGTTTTTATGAAGGTCCCTAATGCTAAAACTAGAGAATCCCTGAGGTATAAAACTGAGAAGGCTTTAGTGCAGAGATAGTGTCAGAGGCCACGTGTATCAGACACATATGGCACAGGGGGGCGGGGGGGGGAGGGAGGCCGTGTAGGGGAAGGCCATGAGGGAGAACGCTAGAGCAGAATGGCAGAGTGTGGGCAGGAGTGGGATGCTGGGGTAGGGTCTCTCAACTCCAACCACTTCTGCCACGGAAGAGGGTTGGCGAGAAGTCACTCAAACCTCTCATGTAGTAAATGTTCGGCTTCTGTGACGCCCGAGAGTATGGAGAAAGCTCACCTGCGGGAAGCAGATGTCCCCTGTGCCGAGGGGTGTCTAACCACCTCCAGCTCCCTGCAGAAGTCTCTTCTCTGCCCTCAGTAGATCAAGGTGAGAGAGACTCCACCTTCTCCCACGTGGGCGGGCAGTGTCCGAGCACTCTGATCCTCATAATCCGCGTTCCTGAGAAATACTAATGACTTAATTCCAAGCTTGCTCCCACTCCTACGCAGCCTTCTCAGTGCGATTTACAGGCGAGGCCCAGGGAAGGCCAGGTCGGAGCAACCTGTAACTGGACACCGGCTGCTGAACCGCCCTAGGACATCTCTGTCACAGTCCCTCAGGAGCCCAGGTCATTCCCCACCATGGGTGAAGTGACCGCGGAGGAAGTGGAGAAGTTCCTGGACTCGAACATTGGCTTTGCCAAACAGTACTATAACCTCCGCTACCGGCCCAAGGTCATCGCAGATATCCTCGGGGCCAAGGAGGCGGCCGTGGACTTCAGCAACTACCGCTCGCTGAACAGCATAGAGGAGAGTGAGATCATCTTCGACCTCCTGCGGGACTTTCAGGAAAACTTGCAGGCTGAGAAATGCATGTGCAACGTCATGAAGAAGCTGTGCTTTCTCCTGCAGGCCGAACACATGAGCCTCTTCATGTACAGGGCCCGCAACGGCACTGCCGAGCTGGCCACCCGGCTCTTCAACGTCCACAAGGATGCTGTCCTCGAGGACTGCCTGGTGATGCCCGACCAAGAGATCGTTTTCCCTCTGGACATGGGCGTGGTGGGCCACGTTGCACACTCTAAAAAGATTGCCAACGTCCCCAACACAGAGGAGGTACTTTCCTTGGGAGACGGGGCAGTGAGGCGTCATTCCTTGGAGCACTAGATTGCAAGTGGGGTGGGGTGGGGACCTAGCCACCGAGATGGGGTTGGTGACCACATGGTGCTTCCCCTTATTTATTTATAACTCTTCATTTGGAAAACGAATTTCAGACTTATCCGAAGAGGTTAAAATGATACAAAGAGCCAGGTATGGCGACTCACACCTCTAATCCCAGTACTTTGGGAGGCTGAGGTGGGAGGATTGCCTGAGGCCAAGAGTTTAAGACATAGCAAGATGCCATTTCTATTTTTAAAAAATTGTCCTTGTGTAGTGGCACTCAATTGTAGTGCCAGCTACTCAGGAGGTTGAGGTAGGAGGATCACTTGAGTCCAGGAGTTAGAGGCTGCAATAAGCTATTGGTTGCACCAGTGCACTCCAGCCTAGGCAACAGAGCGAGACCCTGTCTCTAAATAATAATAATACAAAGAAGTGTATAGCTTTCATCCAAATTTACCTATCGTTAACATCTTGCCACTTTGCTTTCTGACTCCATTTTTTTCTGACTATTTAGGAGGAAAGTGCAGACATACCCCCTTTTTGTCTCTAAGTACTTCACTGTATATTTCCAGAACAAGGACATTTCTTATCTATCCCAAGTATGATGATGGAATTCTAGAAATGTAACATGGATGCAACACCAGTATCTAACAAACCGTTCAATTTTTGCTAGTGATCTCGACGTTGGTGCAGCATGGCCTCTTGAGTCTTTGGATCTGAAACAGCCCCTCAATCTGGCTTTGTTTTCCATGATGCTGATGTTTTTGAAGGTTACAAAACAAATATTTTGCAGAAATGGCCCTCAATTGGGCTTGTCTGATTTCCTACTGATTAGATCAAGGCCATGTGTGCCCTGCAGGAAAACCTCAGTTTCTCTGGTGCCTTACATTGACAGGTGTGACAGTGTCTGTCCTGTCTCTGGGTAGGTTAATGCTGATCATTTGGTTAGATACTCAGCCCTTTCTCCAGGGGCCCAGCGTTCCAGGAGATTTTGGCAGTTCTGACAAAGAGTTCTTTGATCACTTTGGGCAAATCACTCCCCTTCTCTGGATGTTGGTTTTTTTGTTTGTTTTTGAGACAGCGTCTTTCACCCAGGCTGGAATGCAGTGGCCGAGGTGTGGTCTAGCATTGTTCAAGTGGTCCTCCTACTTCAGCTGCCCAAGTATCTGGGACTACAGTATGCACCACTATCTTCATGCTGTCTTTTGAAGGTTGTGCATTTCTCCACACGGCCTCCTCTCTGGGCTCATCCTTCAGAAAAAGTCACTTCCTCAGGGAGGCAGGCCCTCCTTTGTCCCCCTGTTATAGTGTTCTCTCTAAACTGTCTACCATAATAAGCTCAAGGCCAGGGACTGTGTCTGCCCTACCAGGTGTTTACCCCAGGATGCAGCATGTTGTCTGCCACAGAATGGGTGCTCAGGAAACACTCACACTCAAGTCATCGTGTAAGAGTTTCTTGCATACCTGTCCCTCCCATGCCCATCACGGCAGGGCTCTTGCAGGTCCTGTTCACGGCTGCACTGGCCACACCCGGAGCTGTGTCCAGTCGTTTTCAAGATGCAGCCTCTAGACATCGTGTGACGTAGTGCTCACCTTATCTCTGGCCTTATTTCAGATGAAGGGTCTTTACGTTAAAAAGAGGGGAGGGAGCTGGGCATGGTGGCTCAGGCCTGTAATCCCAGCACTTTGGGAGACCAAGGAGAGAAGAATGCCTGAACTCAGGGGTTTGAGACCAGCCTGAGCAACATGGCAAGACCTCATTTCTACAATAAATCATAAAACTAGCCAGGCATGGTGGTGCACGCCTGTGGTTCCAGCTACTTGGAAAGCTGAGATGGAAGGATCACCTGAGCCCAGCAGGTTGAGGCTGCAGTGGCTGTGAGCACAACACTGCACTTCAACCTGGGTGACAGAGTGAGACTCTGACTCAAAAAAAAGTGGGGGTGGGGGGGTGGGGGGGTGGGGGTGGGGGAGGGGCTTCAGCAAGCATCTTAACCAACAGCCTCATCTGATAAAGGAATTACACCAGCCAGGCAAAGTGGCTCAAGCCTGCAATCCTAGCACTTTGGGAGGCCAAGGTGAGAGAATTGCCTGAGCCCATGGGTTCAAGACCAACCTGGGGCAATGTTGTGAGACCTCATTTCTATCATAAATAAAAAATTAGCCGGATGTGGTGGCACGTGCCTGTAATTCCAGCTATTTGGAAGGCTGAAGCAAAAGGATTGCCGGAGCCTAGCAGGTCGAGGCTGTGGTGGCCATTAGTGTGCCGCTGCACTCCAGCCTGGGCAATGGAGTGAGATTCCAACTCAAAGTAATTAAAAAAAAAAGAAATAAACTAAAACCCAGGAGACCTTGGGCAGGGAAAGTTCCCGGGGAGTTACGGTGAGCAAGGACTCCACATCCATGGATTCTGGAGTTCAAGTCAGTCGTCTTTCTGACTTGGGCTCTGTAGGAAACACACTGGGCTCCCCGCTAGGGTTCACCTCCCCTCACCACCCCGTGGGCACCAGTGGTGGGGCAGCATTTCTCACTCAGGTGCCTTGCCTAGGGACTCATCCAGCTGGATGGACATCTATCCTCCCTCCGGCTCTTTCTAGACTTGGACTGTAGCCAACATAAATCATTTCACTTCACAACAATCTTAGTATATAACTCTTGGTATCCCTGGTGCGTGGATAATGAGACTGAACCCAGAGAGTTTTAGCAACCTGCTCAGGTCACACGGAGAGAAAGCGGCAGATGTGGCAGTCGGTGTGCAGGGGTGTTGACAGCTAAGTGACCACAGCCAGCTGCCCATCTCTGTGCTGCTTATGGACCACACACTGCATCACTTGACTAGTCTAAAAAAAGTGGCAGACTGGGAGTGACTTGAGCCCAGGAACCCTGCTCAAGCTCATAGGCTTCTCTTTCTGGCAGTTGACTGGGCAGGTGAGCTGTGCAGGACCCCAATCTCCCTGCCACCCCCTCTACTGTTCTGTCATCCCCAACCCCTTTCCCACCGTGTCTGTAAGATGGTAGACTGGGGACCGTCCACCATTTCTGAATCACACAGCAGAAAGTTGCAACTTGGGCTTTGAAGTCACATCGGGATGTAAATCATGACTGTTACTTTCTAAGCACATGGCCTTGGGGGGGTCATTTAGCCTGCTGGGGTTCATTTCCTAACTCATAAAATGGGATGATATTGTTGTAAGAATTAAATGAGAGAGCTGTGGTGCCAGTGACTCACGCTTGTGATCCTAGCACTTTGGGAGGCCGAGGCAGGAGAATTGCCTTAATCCAGGAGTTCGAGACTAACCTGGGCAGCATAGTAAGACCCTATCTCCACAAAATACGGGAAAAAAAAATAAAAAACTTGCTGGGCATGGTGATGTAAGTCTGTAGTTCCAGCTACTGGGGAGGCTGAGGCAGAAGGATTGCCTGAGCCCAGAAAATCAAGGCTGCAGTGAACCGTGATTGTGCCACTGCACTCCAACCTGGGTGATAGAGCAAGACTTCCACTAAAAAAATAATACTAAAATAAAATAGAAATCAGTAAATGAGAGAACGATTTCCCACCAGCAGTGCTCTCAGCATACAGCAACGGCTCGGAGGGGCAGCTCCTTTCCTTGTTGTTATTATGACTATTCATTGCTATTGTTAAGGGTCTGTTCCCAGGGATGATGCCGTGCAGGGTCTATGTGGGTCTTGCCGAGGAACCCAGACTTGCCCTTCCTCCGCTTTCCGTTTAGACTCTGTGGGAGTCCAAGAACGGGGATGCTGGGAGCTCTCTAGACTCTGGTGTCAAGAAGTTGAGGGTTTGGGATTCTGATTCTAAAAGTTCCCGGCTTAGCAGCCTGCCGAGCCTCTGTGCCAAGGGAGGGCTGCTGCTTCCTGCGCAGCCCTGAGTTCACTCTGGAAGCCGGCTAGTGACTCAGGCCTGGGGTGAAGTCAGTGCAGGCCAGTCTTGGTACTTGTGTACCTGGTATTTGCATGTGTTTGCTTTGGGAAATCTTACTCAATTCATGGTTCTGGGCAGGACGCAGCCTTGGGCACCAAACAGTGACTAGGAGTTGGGTGGAGGAGGAGGACTGGGGTCTGGGTGGTCCCTGAACACCAACGAGTTATACTCTTGGCCTTCAGCATCCTCAAAACCCTGGAAAATTAGCCAGGCACAGTGGTTCATGCCTGTAATTCCAGCTCTGTGGGAGGTTGAGGCAGGAGGATCACTTGAGGCCAGGAGCTTGAGACCAGCCTGGACAACATAGTGAGACTCTATCTCTTAAATAAATAGATTCTGGGAAATGGTTGTAATCACTGCATTGTTAAAATGTGCAACCACAAATGGAAGTCTTCACGGCTGCTATGAACCTCCCCACTCCCTAGAAAATTCTTACTCACCCTGGGGGGATCTATCTCCTCAGGAAAAATTGCCATGAAGATTGCCAGATAAAATATAAGATGTATAGTAAACACAGAATTTTTGATAAACAAAAATAATAATAGGACAATAGTACTATTGCCCCACGCAATATTTAGAACATACATTAAAAAAATTATATATTGTTTATCTGAAATTCAACTTTAACCAAGCATTCTGCTTTTTTTTTATTTTATTTTAAATAAATGGTGTTTCTCATTGGCTGAGCTCAGTGGCGCAGCCTGTAATCCCAGCACTTTGGAGGCCGAGGAGAGTGGATTGCCTGGGCCCATGGGTTCGAGGAGAGTGGATTGCCTGAGCCCATGGGTTCGAGGCCAACCCAGGCGACTTGGCAAGACCTCCTCTCTACAGTAAATCAGAAATTAGCTGGGCGTGATAGCGCGCTTGTAGTTCTGCCTACTTGGAAGGCTGAGGTGGAAGGATCGCCAGAGCCCAGCAGGTCGATGCTGGGTGACCGTGAGCATGCCACTGCACTTCAGCCTGGGCGACAGAGTGAGACTCTGACTCAAAAAAAAAAAAAAGTGAACACCACATTGACTTTGTGAGGTGAAACTGAGCTTGCTCCACTCAGACCTGTGCTCAGGGGTGCACCAGTACCCTCAGAGAGTGACACAGAACCTCTTCTTGGCTAATACCTCTCTAGAGGCTTTGCCTAATCCTCAAATGCTAATTCAAGGAGAGCAATACAGGCTCTCCTTAATTCCTTTACCTGTCACCTGGTTTGAAACGGCTTCACTGGTGACAATGCTGCTGCCTGTTTATTTAATCCCACACCAGCGCTGGAAGAAATCCACCGAGGCAGAGCACCACACTCTGAATTTCGGATGGTGGGAAGATTCTACAGACTCCATTGTAGAAAAGTTCTGTGAATTGACTCTATGAACACATGTCCATTCTCAGAACAGCGTGAACTGTGTGTGTTTGGACTGGTTTGTGTCCCAAACCATGCTGACAGTTCCCAAATCTCACAGTGCTATCAGGAAACAGAAAGGGGGATTATTTTGAATGTAAGGCGACAGTTGGGGCTCTATCTCCTCATTCTGCCCTCACAGACTGCTCTAGAGCTTACACTGGCTTTCCATGCTGTTTTGGGGGTGGGATGGGGATGCTCCTCCATACTCCCAGAGCATCCAGCCAAGCCCTGACAACCTGTTTTATTATTACTGAGTTATCCTGGGGACGGGAGGATGACGTGCCTGAATCTTAGTCAGCCATGTCCTCAGTGCTTAGCATAGGACTTGACACATAGTGGGGCTTCCATGAAGGCATGTAGGCTAGAGACAACCACCGAGCCGGCCATGTGGCACTAGAACTGGATTGCTACAAAAACTCTGGCTGGGTGTGGTGCTCACACCTATAATCCCAGCATTTGGGAGGCTGAGGCCAGAGGATTGCTTGAGGCTAGCAGTGAGACCTGCCTGGACAACATTGCAGGACCCCATTGCTACCAGACAATAATAATAATTGTAAAAATAGAATAAAAAAGCTTAAACGAACACATCATGTGTTCAGTGACCTGGACCCAAGTCGAACTTTGCCAGGCAGCCAAGCAGAGGGCAGGTTCTGGAATCCCTCTCTCTCTCTCTCTCTCTCTCTCTCTCTCACACACACACACACACACACACACACACACACGGACACTGACCTTCTGCAGGTGACCATGCACGGTACCTGCGGGCAGCTGTCCCTGCTGTGCTCACCGAGGGCTTCTTCCCAGCTCCCTCTCAGCAGTTCTCACTCAGAGTTTCTCTTCTGGGCTTTACAGCCAGCACCTCTAGAAAGCCTTTCCTAACCCTCCTCTGCAGACAAAGTCAGTGCCCCATGCCCGTTACCAGCACCCACAGAGCTGTACACATGTCCCCTCCATGCCCTCAGAGGTGCAGATCAGGTCTTCTACATGGAGGCTTCAGTGCAGACCTCTCCCCTGACGGCACCCCCACTGCCGAGGAGCATAGGTGAACACCCTTCCTTCCCTTATTGACAAGGTGCTTGCAGTGTTCTTGCTGTCCATCTGCCACCTATGCCTGTCTCTCCTTCCTCCAGGACGAGCACTTCTGTGACTTTGTGGACACCCTCATGGAGTACAAGACCAAGAGCATCTTGGCTTGCCCCATCATGAACGGGAAGGATGTGGTGGCCGTGGTCATGGCTGTGAATAAAGTGGACGGATCCCACTTCAGCGCAAAAGATGAGGAGGTGAGAATGCAGGAGAAACTAAGCACAGCCCTGTAATCACAGAGCTTTGGGAGGCCGAGGTGGGAGGATCACTTGAGCCCAGTAGTTCGAGGTTGCAGTAAGCCAGGGCCATGACACTGCACTCCAGCCTGAGCCACAGTGAGACCTTGTCTCTAAACAAAATAAATAAATCAACAAAATAGAATAATAAATAATAATAAGGAAACTAAAAGTAGCCATGCTAACCCATTCTCCTAGCTCATAAAGTCCCCTGCACCTTGCTGTTTGGCCTGGCCTCAGTTTCCCCATCTATAAGACAAGGGGTTCATCTGACGCTCTCTGAGGGAGGCAGGACATAAAAATGGTTAAAATGTTGGACTTTGGAGCTGGGAATGGAGGGAATCCTTGTCTGGCTTTGCCAGTGTTCTAGGCGTTGGCTTGGGTAAGGCATCTAACTTCTCTAAACCTTGGTTTTCCTATTTGTAGAACTTTGATGATTGTTCAGTACCCACCTCACAGGGTACTTGTGGTGATGAGACAACATTCTTAAGTGACGTCCTGCAAAATCAATCAGCAGTAGTTGTTTCATTAATACATCCCTATTAGCACCTATACTCTACCTTCTGAGTTTCACATTCATTTTATAACATTTTATGAGTTCATATTCTATGGTTCATAGAATGGCATATGACCCAGATTGCCTCTGATGAAACCTTTAAAATATTCAAGCTGGGTGTGGTGACTCACACCTATAATTCCAGCACTTTGGGAGGCCAAGGTGAGAGGATTGCCTGAGGCCACATGTTCAAAACCAGCCCGGGCAACTTGGTGAGACCTCATCTCTACAATAAATCAAAAAATTATCCGGGTGTGGTGGTGTGTGCCTATAGTTCCAGTTATTTGGAAGGTTGAGGCAGAAGGATCGCCTGAGCCCAGCAGGTCAAGGCTGTGGTGGCCATGAGCATGCCACTATCCTCCAGCCTGGGTGACAGAGTGAGACTGACAAAAAAAAAAAAAAAAAAAAAGTAAAATATTCAGACATTTGCTGATGGTAGAAGTGGCCAGAGAGGAGATGTCTCTTCCTCACCTGCTTCCCTTTGTGCTGCTTGACTTTTAGATTCTTCTCAAGTACCTCAATTTTGCAAATCTCATCATGAAGGTTTACCACCTGAGCTACCTACACAACTGTGAGACTCGACGCGGCCAGGTGAGGGGCTTGGCTCAAGTACGTGGACTGGGTGTGCCTTTTGGCCGAAGCATTGACATGGTTAGGGCTGGCAGGCAGGTGGGAATGAGGTTTCTGGGTCCATCGTGCTGCCTCTGACCAGCATCACTAGGGTTGTGAGGTAGTGGGCGTTTGTGAAGCTGGTTCCCAGAGGCACACTTTTCAAGTCAGACAGCTTGGATTTGAAACCCTTCTCGGCCACTGATCTGCTCTAAGACCCCGAGCAAGTCACTTAATCTCTTTGTGCCTCAGTTTCCCCATTTGAAAAGTGGGGGTAATCATGATGCCACCCTCAAAAGATTTTGATCAGTAGTAAACGAGGCTGGACAGGGTGGCTCACACCAGTAATTCTAGCATTTTGGAAGGCTGAGGCAGGAGCATTGCTCAAGGTCAGGAGTTTGAGACCAGCCTGAGCAACATAGCAAGACCCCCCCCCATCTCTATGAAGAAAAGATTTTTAAATAAATCAAAAATGTGAATGAGATCATGTATGCAAAACATGTTCGATTCATTTTTATTTTAAATTAACAACCCATGAGATAAAAGACAGGGAAACTGTTGGATAGGATATTAGCCAGCCAGTTACTGCACCTCACGAGGTCTCAGTTCCTTCAACTATGAACTGGGGAATGGTGATCGCATCTATACCTGGGTTATTATGAAGGTTACATGAAAAAAACTCTAGAGAACTTTACAGAATTGTCATTATTCTGTAGCTGAGTGAGCTCCTGATCTGTGTCTCAAAGCTATCGTCACATTTCTGTATTTCCCCAGATCCTGCTGTGGTCTGGGAGCAAAGTCTTTGAAGAGCTCACGGACATTGAAAGGCAGTTCCACAAAGCTCTGTACACGGTCCGTGCCTTCCTCAACTGTGACAGATACTCCGTGGGTCTCTTGGACATGACCAAGCAGAAGGTGAGGAAACAGGAAATGACTTCCAAGGAAAGGTTACCTGGACACCAGTGGTGCCCAGAGTCTTGTCTCACACTCAGTGGCTGGGAAGAGGCTGGGCAGGCTTGGGTGGTTGTAGAAAGAGAGGAGCCCTTTTCTGAAGAGTAGCCCTTTTCTGAAGAGAGGAGGGTCAGCTTCAAAGGGGGAAAGGCCAGTCTAGTGCACAGGTGAGTAAAAGCATCCTGCATTTCCCTAGTCAGTGGGAATAAAAAGGCCTCGGAGGAGAAGGCTGGTGAGTGGAGATGGTGAGATAGAGGAGTTTCTACATCAGTGGAAAGTCTGGGAGAAAGGTGCCAACTTCGGGAATTCTCAGATGTGCTGAAAGTTGGGTGTGAACCTTGCTGTGGTTTCTCTGCCTCAACAGACAAGTGAGGGGAGGCAGACACTGAGGTCTGGCCCCTCTCAAACTGGGGGCCAAGATTGCACAGATTCTGTGGCCAAGGAGACCATAGTCATCGTAGCTCCCAGCCATGTCGTTCAGACACGGTTTCCAAACCAACCCCCGATTCCTCTTTTCTTCTCTGTCTCTGCCTTATGAGGTTGATCATTTTCTACCTTGGACACAGTTTCAGGGTTATCTAAGTTGATCATTTCCTGTCCCGAAAACCCAAGGATTCTTTTCAGTTTCATTTTTCAGCAATGCCATGCCGAATGTGGTGCCCAGACCAAGCAGACTCTCCAAACAGTGGACTGAATGAACAAGGGAATCACAGAATCTGGGATTGGAAAAGATCTTAGATCTAGTTCAAAAGTGTCCCAACTTGGAGTTCATCACAATCTTCTGAGGAGCTGATTAAGAATGGCTAGGCAGGCGGGGTGTGCTGGTTCACACCTGTAATTCTAGCACTTAGGGAGGCCAAGGTGGGAGGAGTTCGCCTCGGCAACATAGTAAGTTCCCATCTCTGCAAAAAACAAAAAATTAGCTGGGTGCAATAGTGTGTGCCTATAATTCCAACTACTTAGGAGGCTTAAGCCCAGGAGGTTGAGGCTGCAGTGAGCTATGATTGCATTACTGCACTACAGTCTGGGCAACAGAGCAAGACCCCATCTCCAAAAAAGAAGAAAAAGAAAGAAAAAAGTCACCAGGCCCCATTTTCTGATAATCTGCCATTTGTACTTAATGTTTAATGAGCATCTCTCCATGTCAACATACATGGATTCTTTTTAAGACTTTATGCTAGCCGGGCTCAGTGGCTCAGCCTGTAATCCCGTGCTTTGGGAGGCTGAGGTGAGTGGATTGCCTGAGTCTGCAGGTTCGAGACCCACCTGGGCAACTTGGCAAGACCTCATCTCTACAATAAATCAAAAAATTAGCCGGGCGTGGTAGCGCGCGCCTGTAGTTCCAGCTACTCGGAAGGCTGAGGCGGAAGGATCGCCGGAGCCCAGCAGGTCAAGGCTGTGGTGGCCGGGAGCGGCCACTGCACTCCAGTCTGGGCGACAGAGTGAGACTCCAGCTCAAAAAAAAGAGACTACTTTATGCTGATACATAACATAGATACAGAAAGGAACACTCACTGTAGGTATATAATAATCAATGAATTATCACAGAGTGAACATTCCCACGGGACCGTCACCAAAATGAAGTAGAACACGACGAGCAGCACCTAGCAACCCCCCTCCTAACTTCTCCAGGACCTCCACAGTCTGTTCCGGAAGGCAACCACCATCTGACCTTCACACCATATTTATGTGGCCTCTTGAAGGTCACATAAATGGAATCCTGCAACATACACCCTGTTGCATTTGACTACTTGTTCAACATTTTGCTTGTAAGATTCATCCTCACTGTTCCCTGTAGCATTCGTTCATTCGTTTCCATTCCTCTGGAATGTTCCATTCTATGAATAATCTAAGGTGGACACCGGGGTTTTCAGATCTGGGCTATTGTATTACTATCATGAACATTCCAGTGTACTGTATGTCTTTTGGGATATAGTTGTACCCATTTCTGTTAGATATTAACCTAAGAGTTGAATTTCTGGGCAATAGCTTTCGTAAATATTGCCCATCTGATTTTCTAAATGATTGTACCATTTTATTCTCTCTCTCTCTCTTTTTTGAGTAGGAGTCTCACTCTGTTGCCGAGGCTGGAATGCAGTAGCACACTCACGGCCACTGCAGCCTCTGCCCACTTAGCTCAGGTCATCCTTCCACCTCAGCCTTCTAAGGACTGGAACTACAGGCATGCACCACCGTACCTGGCTAATTTTTTGATTTACTGCAGAGACGAGGTCTCGCCAAGTTGCCCAGTCTTCTCTCGAACTCGTTTTATTCTCTCACCAACAGTGGAAAAGGGTTTCCTCACCAAAAAGAGAGTGAACTGCAGGACAGCCTCAGGCAGGTCCTTCAGGAGATTGTCCTCCTAGGAGATGACAGCTTCATGCATATTATCATCCCTGAAGACTTTCCAGTGGGATAAGATGTGGAAGTGGAAGCCCGCGGTGTTGATGATCCTGATCCTGTATAGGCCTAGGCTAATGTGTGTGTCTGTGTCTTCGTTTTTAACAAGAAAGTCTTAAAAGTTTTTAAAATGTTTGCCAGGCAGGGTGGCTCATGCCTGTAATCCCAGCATTTTGAGAGGTGAAGGTAAGAATTGCCTGAGCCCATGGGTTCTAGACAAGACTGGACAACATGGCAAGATCTTATCTCTACGATAAATTTAAAAAAAAAACAACAAAAAACTAGCCAGGTATGGTGGTGCACACCTGCAGTTCCAGCTACTTGGAAGGCTGAGGTGGAAGAATCACCTGAACCCAGCTGGTCAAGGGTGTGGTGGCCAGGAGCATGCTACAGCTCTCCAACCTGGGCAACAGAGTGAGACTACCCCTGCCCAAAAAAATGTTTAAGGGAAAAAAGCTTATAGAATAAGAATATAAAGAAAATATTTTGTTCTGATTCAAGCACCAGAGACAGAAAAAAAGAAAAGAAAGTAATAGAATTTGAGATAAAATTTTTAAGAAAATATTTTTGTATAGCTGTACAGTGTGTTTGTGTTTTAAACTAAGCGTTATTACCAAAAAAAGTAAAAAAATATATATAAAGTAAAAAAGTTGCAAGCCAAGTGTGGTGGCTCACTTAATCCCAATTACTTGGGAGGCTGAGGCAGGGGGATTGCTTGAACTCAGGAGTTTTAGACCAGCCTGGGCCACATAGCAAGACTTCATCTAAAAAAAAGAATATTCTGATTTAGTCATCCCCAAAGGTAGAACAATTTAGCAATTAAAAGTGGGCTATGCTGTCTATACTCTAAGAACCTGCCCTTCGGATAGTCAAGCTTTTACCTGAGCTATGGACACAATGAAAAACTCACTGAAGTCCTTGAGTCACTTTAAATGGATGAATGACTGTATAGTATATGGATTATATCTCAATTAGGCTGTCAAGAAAGACAAGAAGGAAGAAAGTAGGGAGGGAGGGACAGAAGGAAAGAAGGTGTAGTCATAGATATGCCCAACTCTTCACATAACCCCTTGTGTGGCAACTTCTCTTCTTCTTGGGACAGTCTTCAGGTCCACTCTGTGTCTGACCACATAAGGTGCCGGCCCAATAACCCGTTCTTCTTCTGGGCCCCTGTAGCATTTATACTCTCTTTCCACTGCTGCTTTGGTTCGTGCCCATCTGCATTACTGTAATTACCTGAGTATCTCATTGTTTCCTCATAAGACAATGGACTCTTCCAGGCATGGGCTGTGCCCTTATTCAACTCTGTATATCTAGTGGCAAGCACGTTGTGGGGCTCAGGTAGGGCCCAGCTGCATTTTCACCTGGAATTGAATTTCTCCCTGTTGTCAGTGGTCTGGAAAAGAGCCAGCTGGGCAGAAAGGCAAGAGTATGGAATATGAATTTAATGTGGACTCCCTTCTGCTTGTTCTCTAGATGACATTAGAATGAGCCAACCACCCTGACAAACATGTCCCAACAAGAGGAGGGACAAGGGGGCTTGGTATCCCACCCACAGTAACCCAGTGATAGTGGGTCACTGTCCCCAAATAGTTATAGGTGAATGAAAAGAGTGGGCCCTGGAGGATAGAGCCTAACCCCGAGCTTTGCAGACCTGGCCCAACCCTGAGCTTTGCAGCTCGTGTGCAAAGGAAACTCATGAGAAAATAGGCGAGGGCCTGCGTGGTGTCCCTGTTGGCTTCTCCTGAGGCTGCAGGACTGCTCAGCTCCTTTGCTGGCTCTTTCTCTTCTCTCTGCCTGTGTCTTGCCCAGTTGAGAAACACAAAAATAATGAAGTTCATCTGAGCAAAGGATGATTCATGAATTGAGCAGCACTTAGCAGCAGAAGAGGTTCAGAGCTCTGCTCCACAGCATCAGCCGCGAACTCTTATAAGCCGAGCGTGGAAGCAAAGTACAGAGATAACGTGATTGCTTACAACTGGGCATTTGCCTTATTTGGACGTCGTCTGATCCACTGCTGCCTGTGAATGGCTGGAACATGACTATTTGTAACAAAATTATACTCCTAAATTAGGTTTTGGTTTGCTTGCATACTAAAGATTGTAATTTGTTAAGTAGGAACACAAATTGTTACATAGGACCTCATAGATTCAGGCCAGTCTGGGCCACATGGCAGACCTCCTCTCTACAAAAAATATAAAAAGTAGCTGAGTGTGGTAGCAGGAACCTGTGGTCCCAGCTACTCTGGAGGTTGAGGCGGGAGGATCACTTAAGTCCAGGAATTGGAGGCTGCAGGGAACTGTGATCATGCCACTGCACTCCAGCCTGTGTGATAAAACAGAAATAGATTCAGGCTGATGTTTCTGCTTATTCTGCCTTAACAGCCACTTGTCTTAGAGGCGTCGGCCTTTCTTGTCGCATCCAGATATGGATCTATCTGTCCCTAATTGGTGTCATTTTTTTCTTTCTTATCTGAGAAAAATGTGTTTTCCTGGTTACAAAAGAAAAAAAGCTTATTAATGGAAAATTTTCTAAATAAATTACAGTCTCAGTCCAATCACCCAGAGAAAACCAGTCGTTTGTACTTTTTTTTTTTTTTTTTTTTGAGTTGGAGTCTCACTCTGTCACCCTAGCTGGCGTGCAGTGGTACGCTGCTCACGGTCACTGCAGCCTTGACCTGCTGGGCTCAGGCAATTCTTCCGCCTCAGCCTTCCAAATAGCTGGAATGACAGGCACATGCCACCATGCCTAGCTAATTTTTGTGATTTATTGTAGAGACGAGGTCTCACCAAGTTGCCCAGGCTGATCTTGAATCCCTAGGCTCAGGCAATCTTCTCACCTTAACCTCCCAAAGTGCTGGGATTACAGGCTGAGTCACTGCTCCTGGCCCGTTTATGCTTTGTTGACAAGGTGTTCACAGCAGCTTTTAGACGTAATTGAACACTGAGGTTGAGACAGAGCAGGGCTAGGACTAGGCTTCCCTCACATTCTGTAGCCACGAGACTCTGTGCAGAACCCCAGCTGGAGCCATCCTACAGACCACAGCCTTGAAAGCATTCATTAAGATAAGCAATGATTTACATAAATCTTGCTTGGGATGATAGCCCCCTGCCTGCCACTCACCCACGTGCACACAAGGACCAGAGGGTATCTGATTGTAACCTCTTGCTTTACAGAATCATAAAATCCCATCCCCAGGCGGGGTTTATCCACCGATTTTTGTACATGTGACTTATGAAGAAATATGTGTCTATACTACACGTGCACGGCTAAAACCCCTCTCTAATCACATCAACATACCTTTCCTTTGATGTTACACCCCCTCCCGTTACCCCCTTCAGGAAGCCGGCGGGAGCAGCCTCCCTCGTAAGAGCCTCCAATAAAGCCTTGCCTGGGAATTTGTTTGGCTCTTGGCAATTTCCGTCACATGAACCCTAAGAACCCACGGTCAGTAACAGGGTCGCACGGCATATATTTTTGGCCTCTCATGTTTTTCACGCATCCGTGTACAATGGACATCTTTTCATTCAATATGTACACATCTGTGACACCATCATTAAGAGATGCACCATAAGTGATGATGAGTCCTCCCTTGCTGGACACTAAGATGATTTCTAATTTTTCACAACTATGCAAGGGGATAAAAAGAAAAAAACGGAATTATTTTTTGGAGGGTGGCTAGCATTGTTGTGAGAGGCTGTGTTTGGTTTCAGTGAATTTTTGGGGAGAGATTCTTTCAACTCGTCTGCCCACACCACACTGAGTGCTCAGCAGTTTTTGACCCAAAACAGCATGAACTTGGGCCCCGCCCTCCCTATTCACCCAATCTCTCCCTGAGTGACTTTTTTTTTTTTTGGTTTCCCTGGATGAAAAAAGTCCTCCAAGGGAAACATTTTGCCGATGTAGAAGAGGTGAAACAAACACTGGCAGAAGCACTCAAAGGCATCAAAATTGAGGGGTTCCAAAACTGCCTTGAGCAATGAAAAAAGCATCTAGATAGGTGTATGGCAGCAAACGGAGAGTACTTTGAAGGTGACTGAAGTTTAAACGTGTACATGCAAACAATTTTTTATAAATAAATTCTGAGGTTTTTTTGTTCCCCCTTGGTAAATGACACTGCAGGGGACATTGCCGTAGCTAACCCTCTGACCCCATGCCTGGTATGTTTTTGAGGACATCTCTTCACCGTGGAGATCCTACCTTCTCTCTTGTCCCACAACACTGTGTTTTGACTCATGACTAGACAGGCCCAGTGTTTTGAAGGGCAGATGGGATGATTTTCTAACTCTAGTCATTCTAGCTTGGCTTTTGCTGAGTTCTTCCCACCTTCTAAATTTCAGTGAGAGATGACTCATGCAGGTGGGACTTCTTTTCTTAAGATCATTTTCTTGATCTACCTTCAAAACATGTAATTATTGTTTTGTTTTGTTTTTTCACTCCTAGGAATTTTTTGACGTGTGGCCAGTTCTGATGGGTGAGGCTGCTCCGTACTCTGGGCCCAAGACTCCGGATGGAAGGGTAAGTCTCTCTCTGGCTTTTTCAATGTGATCAGATGCTTGATGAATTCAAATGCAAGACACAGTAGACTCCTGCTGAAGGATGTCTCTTTATCATATATGTGTTTGTCTTCTCTGGGTTGGGTTATATCCCTCAAGGTTAGAATTATGTTCAGATGTGGTGGCTCATGCCTGTAATCCCAGTACTTTGGGAGGCCAAGGTGGAAGGATCATTTGAGCCCAGTGAAGATGTGGTGAACCATGATTGTGCCACTGCACTCCAGCCTGGGCCACAGAATGAGACCCTGACTCAAAAAAAAAAAAAAAAAAAAAAAAAAGAATTAAACAGCCAGGCTCAGTGGCTCAGCCTGTAATCCTAGCACTTTGGCAGGCTGAGGTGAGTGGATTGCCTGAGCCTGCAGGTTTGAGACCAGTCTGGGCAACTTGGTGAGACCTTGTGCGCTAGTGTGCGTTTGTAGTTCCGACTACTTGGAAGGCTGAGGCGGAAGGATCACCAAAGCCTAGCAAGTTGACGCTGGGGAGGCCGTGAGCATACCACTGCACTCCAGCCTGGGCCACGGAGTGAGACTCCAACTAAAAAAAAAAAAAGAATTATTCCTCACAATTGCTAAGTCCTATCATTTGCAAAGTGGGTTTTTTCTTTTCTTTTCTTTTCTTTCTTTCTTTTTTTTTAACTACCTACTATATTAACGAGGGACAGTGTTTTTACTATCTCACTGGAGTTTCACAGTCATCTCGTGGGGTAGACCAAGCAGAAATCAACTCCTCCTTCCACAGATGAGGAAATAGCCCAGAGAAGTCAGCAGCCTACTCAAGGCTTCACCTGGCAGACTTTAGGATTGCAGACACTGTGAGCCAGAAAGGCACTCAGCTGCAGTCTGTAATGCACACACCAGTGGCCAGAAAGCCAAGTCCAGCTGATAGATGAATTTGTTTGGTTATATAGATTTTTTAATCTTTCCTTTCTGTTTGTACTTTTAAAACGTTTGGGATTGGCGGCTTAAAAATCAAGGTTATTCCATAAATATCTGTATTCTCAGTTTCTTTTGAAGTGGTGGATAATGAGTCAAAACTGGGCCCACCATTCGGCAGGATGAATTTGACTGGAGCTAATAGCTGCCTCCTTGGGACGTGGCCTTGACCCTCTGGCTTGCCACAGTCGCCACCATTCCCTCTTATGGATACCTGATGCCCTGCTCTCATTGATATTTTTATCAGTTCCCTCTAGGCATTTGAGTTTCTGACCTCTGGTCTCATCAAATTGTCTCATTTTAAACTTTTTTTTTTTTCAAAAAATAGAGACAGGGTCTCACTCTGTTGCCCAGGATGGTCTTCAACTCTTGGGATCAAGCAGTACTCTGGCCTAGGCCTCCCAAAGTGCTGAGGTTACAGGCATAAGCCACTGCACCTGGCCTAATTGTCTCATTTTAAAGAAGAGGCATAATCACTTTTGAGATGCTGAGATGGCATGTATGGAGGTGTGAATATGGTGCAGGGTAAACAGTACTGGCACTCAGATGGCCTATAGAGCCTGTAGAGGGCACGGTGGCACACCTGCAGTCCCAGCCACTCTGGAGCCAAGGTGGGAGAGCCCAAGAGTTCGAGACCAGCCTGGGCAACATGGCTGTCTCTAAAAACTTAAAATTTAAGTAAATAAACAACTAGAAGCTATGGAATGAATGAGTGACCTTAGCAGAGGCATCATGGAGTAAGCAAACAGCAGGGTCATGCCCTGAATTGAGCTTAGTTCAGTACTCTTCCCATGACACTTGAGTCTGTGTGACATAGTAGTCAGTTTTTCCTAGGAGGTCTCGTTCCACCCAGCCAGCCTTAAACCTGCCCAAAATAAAGGGCCTCATGTGTGTGTGTGAAAGAGAGAGAAAATGATAAGACTTTCATTAGCCTTAATTTCCAACTCTGGGACTTCAAAATTACCGCCCTTGCTGTGAGCCTCCTAAATATATGAGGAAAACTCTCACTCTCAGAATCCATATTGTCTGCAGAGGCTTCACCCAAAACCATCTTTGTAACTTGCTGCCTTCCAGTTTCAAATTACTCTTTTGCCCACATGATTTCATGATTTCATTTCAGAAGACTACATCTTTAAGGATCCCATCATGTGCTGCTGTCAGAAACTCTATTTGGGACACTTTTTAAGTATACCCTTTTCATGTTAGCATAGCTGACATGCTGCCCCAAGATTTTTCTCCAGGGCACGTCCAAGCTGAACTTGTATCTTCTGGAAAGTTAGAAGTTGAAGAACTGAAATAGAGATCATCATAGCTTTCTGACACTACTGACACAAGACAGGGAAACCCAAGTTGGGGTCCAGCCCGTGAGGCCAAATGGGTTCTTGACTTCACACAGGAAAGAATTCAAGAGTGACCCACCAAAGAACAGTGAAAGTAAGTTTAATTAGAAGGAAAGAGGAACAGAAAGAAAGCTACTCTATAGGCAGAGCAGCCCCCATGCATCGCTGGGGTTTTGGTTGGAAAATGGAAGTGAGTTTATTGAAATGACAGAGAGCAGCATGGGTGGGTCTCTAGGAAGAACAGCAGTCGTGTATCACTAGTGTTTTACGTTTATAGTTATCTCTTTATCATATGTCAAGCAAAGGGTGGGACATTCATGGGTTTCCTGGGAAAGAGGTAGAGATTTCTAAGAACTGGGGTCCTCCCAGTTTGTTACTATAAATGGGTAGGGTCGGAACTGTCATGGCACTGGAGGGTGTGTCACTTAGCATGCTAATATATTATAATGAGGGGCAAGGTTGGGTAGTGGGCAAATTAGTTGCCATCTTGGTTTTAGCTGGCTCTAACTGGTTCTCAATCACATTCTATTTTTCTCTGTGGGGTTCAGAAAACCAGGCTATTCACCTGTCTAGACAAACTGTCTCAGCTGCCTCTCCTGAGAAATTAGCTTTGTTGTTTATCTTAGAAAACTAGTCCTGCTTAATTCCTATCTTACTACCAACTTCAATAAACTCCAATTTATTTGGCTGTTTTGAGATTCAGCTCTCTGGGCTGAGTCCTTAGGTCAGAGGTCAGGGGTCTCCTCTAACACCAGGATGGCCTAAGAAATGCCAGGCTCTAACTCTGGCTCTTTACCCTCCAGTGCCCCAGTCTTCAAGGCTGAACAGAACCCATTCTCACTGAGCACCAGCCCAGGGAGAGCTGCCCACTACGTGACCAGTTCACCAAGGTGCCAGGCACACCCATGGTTAAGTCTTTCCTCTTTCAGAATCCTTCGCCATCTCAGACAGCAAGGCCTCAGTACTTGTAAGCTAGAGAGGCATTAGGCTGTGCCAGACAGGGCCCTGCCCCGGAGACAGAGGACTTTGGTTTTGGTTGGCTGCTAACCCTCAGGACGAGCTTGTCCAAATAACTCCATAGGTTCTTGATTTTCACATCGATGGGGTGTTGTCAGTGAACTCATCTCCAAAGTCAATTCAGGGCCAGGACACAGCAGCGAGGGAAATCCACATGGGCCTCAGCTGGGACCCAGACACAGCATGGCAAGACTGGCCAGAGGTGGGTCTTCCAGAGAGAGGGGACTTGGGGAAGGAAGCCCGCAGTTGCTTGGCTTTGGGAGGCTCTCTTGGCCACCCCTTCCTCACCCGGAATGTGAGATGACCAGGGTTCCTAGCAGGGCCATGGTAGCTAATTCAGGACACATACCCACACAGAGAACGCCCTTGATACATGATTATTGCCACAGGAGAGCCCCTCCACCCACCGAGTGCTTCACCTGGGTCAGGCCGTTTACTCTCCTCAACGAGTTCACGAGAAGGCGTCCTCAGCTTCTCCAGCAGACAGTTGAGGCAACTGGGATCTGGAGAGGTCAAGTCATGTGCACAGATTCAAACCCAAGAAACTTCTTTCATTGTCATTGATTGAAGTCACATCTTTTAGCATTCCCTCTGCCTTCTGGTGCATGCTCACGTTCTCGACTCTATTCTCATTAGAAACACAGCTTTTGCTCATGCCTGTAATCCCAGCACTTTGGAAGGCAGAGGCGAGAGGGTTGCCTGAGCCCACAGGTTCGAGACCAGCTTGGGCAACATGACGAGACCTCATCTCTAAAATAAATTTTAAAAAATTAGCTGGGCATGGTGGCGTGCTCGTAGCTTCAGATACTCGGAAAGCTGAAGCGTAAGGATCGCCTGAACCCAGCAGGCTGAGGCTGCGGTGGCTGTGAGCGTGCCGCTGTACTCCAGCCTGGGTGGCAGAGTGAGACTCTGGTTCAAAAAAAAGAAACACAGCTTTTGTCTGGATTCCAATTAGAGGAACAGAAAGAAAGCTACTCTAAAGGCAATCTTAGGTCTAAAGTGCCCTGGTAGCAAATGTATCTTCCTTCACCTTCTTTTAAAAATGTAACGGTGTGTGTGTGTGTGTGTGTGTGTGTGTGTGTGTGTACGTGTGTTATTTAAAAGATATACAGGCCAATAAGGCCTCATGGAAAAAAAATTAAAAATAACACTCAATTTAAAGCTGGTTTATTTCCATGGACTGGTGGCAGTCAAAGCCCCTTGTGTTCTGGCTGCTCAGGTGCAGGTCAACAAAGGTGCTCTTGATGGCTGGGCCTTGACTTCCAGAGGCTGGTGAATTTGTTTATGAATATGGCCTTGAGGGCAGCTTTACTGAGCTGCAGTGTGTGGAGAAAGCCCTAGTTGCCTAAAGCACACTGATCTTTTTGTTGCTTTTTGTGAAAGCAAATGAATTCTCTTGTGGATTCAAAAATGTCCATTTCTAACTCCTTAAGGAAAACTCTCCCAAACAGAGTTTTTTCCTCTTCTCTCACACACTGATCAAGGCAAAAGAAGATCTCTGTGACCAAATGTGGGGGTTTCTCTCACCACCAAGCAGTCGACACCAGCCAGGCCTCCTACTGTTCAGTTCCAACACTCCCTACCTGGAAATGGTGTCAGATCTCCCAGGTGGAGGGCTCAGTCCCCAAGACTGCCCCTCCTACCCTAGACACCAGTGGCAAGTCTGGGCCTCC